GGTCTCCTCACACTGCTGGTGGTTTCCATTTTTGTCATAGGGTGCTGTATGGCCTCCCATTGCTGCTGCTTCCACCGCCACACTGTGGCTCCACACTCTGGTTTTGGCCCCGTGACTGCCCAAATGAGTGAAGTGTGCGGTGATTCTAAGATCGACGGCACTCATCTGCATGTCATACTGACTGTCAGTATTATTTCTCTTCCCCAGCAGACTCCAAGGGCATTTAAATTAAAGTTACAGTGTTCTGCACTAATATAAAGGCTCTCTGAAGCCTAGAAACACCCTTTTATAAGTTAAATTCGCAGCGAATATATTCGACTGGAATCAAAATTTTATCACGAATTCGTCGAATCAGTCGAATCAAATTTTTGAATAATTCGCTCATCTCTCTATATATATATATATATATATATATATTTTTTTTTTTTTTTTATTTTTTTTTAATATTCATGGTTTTAGAAAGAAAATTTCCAACAAGCTTATTTAGGTGTGATCAGTGCAAGGTGTGGTGGTTTTAGAGATAATTAATTCTAAATATATTGGGCGGTGTCCGACTCCCATAAACAATATAAAGCAGTGCCTCCATCCGTTAAATACGGCAAATACTTAATTAATAATCCAATTGTTGGTTATGTGTTAGAGAAGACACTGGTAGTGATGAGGCAAAATTATGACTTTACTTGTGTGGCTTAAGTTTCAAACATACAAAGCACATTTCAGCAGGTTGTAATAGCAGACATCTTACTTCCTGAAGAGATGAGAGATAAGAGAGAGAACCAACAAGTTTTACACATATGCACAACTGATAACCTTAGTGTATAGTGCCACCTACTGGTCAAGTGATATTAACATACAAATACTATATATAGTACATTATAGTACATGCTGTTGAATTCCCAACACCCCTTCTCAACGGCATGTGCATAATTATATGACATTTAGTCTCTTTTGTAGAAAACAATGACGTTCCCTTGGTGTTTTCGCTTCCTTTGCATCTTGCATGTGAAACTGTTCTAACATTTCTGTAATTTTCTGACTTTGGTTAAGAAGATAGCTTCCATCCTCTTCCCGCTCTATTTGAATTCCTAGGTAGTGAGTAATGTTCCCCAACTCTTTAATTTCAAAATTTTGTTTCAGTTTGTGAACTATTTGGTCATAGTCCCCTTCTTGATCAAAACACGTCAAGATGTCATCGACGTATATTAGGATGTATGTCCATTTGTTCTCTTGATTCTTTGAATACAGACATGGATCTGCTTTACTTTTTGAGAACCCTTCCTTTCTGAGTATTTCGTTCACTTTTTCATTCCATGCTCTCGCCGCTTGCTTGAGCCCATAGATGCTCTTTTGCAGTTTGCATACAAGGTTCTTTTCTTTCTCAAAGCCTGCTGGCTGTTCCATGTACAGATCCTCCTTGATGTCCCCATACAAAAAGGCAGTTTTGACATCTAGGTACTTTACTAGCATTCCCTTTCCGGCAGCAATACTAAGGAGTGTTTTTATGGTAGAATGTTTCACAACTGGAGCAAATGTCTCATCGTAATCTTCTCCAAATTTCTGGGAGTATCCATTGGCAACTAATCTTGCTTTGTATCTATAGATGTTTCCTTCTGTATCATATTTCACTTTAAAAGTCCATTTGCTTCCGATGGTTTTGCGACCGGGAGGGAGTTCTGTTAGTGACCGAGTTTTATTTTCTTGAAGTGATTTTATTTCTTCTTCAGCTGCTTTTCTCCACTGATCGGCTTCCCTTCTCGGCAAAGTTTCTATGTCTTCCCAGGATGTTGGCTCCTGTGTTTGATGTGTTTCAGCAGCCTATGATAACCTGCGGGGTGGTATCCCTTTTGTCATTCGAGAGGACCTTCTGATTTCTTGTTGTTCAGTGGGTTCTATGGGCTCGTTGATTGTAAGTTCCACTTCTTGTTCTGGCTCTTGTCCTGCTTCGCATGGGTCCGTGTCTCTTGCTGATTCAGCGCGTAAATCCTCTCCACATTTTTCAAGAATTGTATTATCTGGTGCTTCACTTTCATCAAAATAAACACTGCAGCTTACTGTGACCTTGTTGGTCTTTGGACAAAGGATTCTATATCCCTTACTCTGCTCACTGTAGCCCACCAGAATGCCTTCTATGGCTTTGTTCTCCAACTTGGAGCGTTTCTGACTTGGAATGTGGGCATATGCTTTACAGCCGAACACTCTGATATGTCCTACGTTAGGTTTTGATCCATTCCACATTTCATATGGTGTACTCTCAATAGCTTTTGATGGGAGCCTGTTTTGTAGGTATGTTGCAGTCATTATTGCTTCTCCCCAGTATTTGTTAGGTAAGTCAGAGTCCGTAATCATACATCTGGTCATTTCTACAAGAGTGCGATTCTTTCTTTCAGCTACACCGTTTTGCTCAGGAGTGTATGGTACAGTTGTTTGGTGTATAATACCTTGTTTCTTTAGGTTTGATTCTATCTCTTTATTCATATATTCCCCTCCATTGTCAGTGCGTATTATTCCAGGTTTCCTTTGAAACTTGTTGCTTGTCATAGGTACAAACTCTTGAAGTTTTTCTAATGTCTCACTTTTGTGCTTCATTAGATACGTTATTGTGTACCTGGAATAATCGTCGATGAAAGTCAGTAAATATCTGTTCCCGCCAGGTGTGATGGTTTTCATTGGTCCGCACACATCACTGTGTATCAGTTCCATGGGTTTAATGGTTTTACTCTGACTGGTCTGTGGAAGAGGGGTTCGGGTGGCCTTTGCTTTGATGCAACACGTGCACTTGCTGAGTGTGTGACAAGGCAGTATTTTCATGTCTTCTGATAGACCTCTCTTTGCAAAGTCCTTTATAGCTTCTGGGTTTCGATGCCCCAATCTTCTATGCCACAGGTGGATGCACTTGTCATGTGGGTTATGAGTTGCCACATTAGCCTTCTCACTTTCAGTGACGATTTTGTACAGATGTTCATTTAATCTTCCTCTTGCTAGAATTTGCTTTCCATTTTGAATTGTGCATTCATTACCTCTGAACTGGACAGCGAGTCCATGTGACTTGTTGCCCCTGAATCAATGTACCATCCATGTGAGGTACTATTCTGAGTCACTTTAAAAGTACCACTCCATGATGCACTTTCATTTTCTTTCATGACCGCTTTAGCTCTTTCTCTTGTGGGTAGCTCCTGCTTTCGCTGCTTAGCTTTCCAGATTGAACAGTTCTTTTTCAGGTGACCGGCCTTTTTGCAGCGAAAACATACCCTGGTTTCTTTGCTTTGTCTTATGCCTTCATGCACCTTCGGAGCTGCCTCTGGTCTCTCGTTCTCTTCACTATGCAAATTTTCCTTTCTTCTGCTGTATTCATCAATTAATTTTCCCTTAACATATTCTAGCGTCAGTTCAGTTTCCGGTCTAGTTTCTAGAGCATTTATGAGGGCACTGTATGATTCTGGAAGGCTGCATAGTAGTATTGACACAACATGGTTCTCTTTTATTTCTTCACCTATTGCACCCAGCTGGTCTACAATTTCTAGCATAGCATTTACATGTTTCACCCATTTCCTGCCCTTTTTCCAGCCTCATCTTATACAGTTTGCGCAGCAGATTTAGTTTACTGTTTAGGTTTGCACAGTCATGCAGTCTTTGTAATGCAGTCCACATACCTTTAGCTGTGCTTTCTTTCCTTATATGAATGAGTTGATCGTCCTCCACTAACAGGCTTATGACTGCTTTTGCTTGCCTGTTTTTTTCTGTCCCATTCCTCCGGGTTGTCATTGGGTCTGTGTGTATCTAGTACCTGCCACACGTCATCTCTGGATAACAGCATTTCAAGCTTAAACTTCCATAGCTGGTAGTTGGTATTGTTGAGCTTTGCTATTGTACACTTCATATCTGAAGCACTTGCCATCTTTCAGTGAATTGGATACAGCTCTTGTTTCCTCACACAGGATTTGGTAGAATTGTAAATGCAGCACTTGCTTGTAGTTCTCCTTTTTCCAGTGTCTGGAGCTGGGCCCATAACCTGTTGGTTATGTGTTAGAGAAGACACTGGTAGTGATGAGGCAGAATTATGGCTTTACTTGTATGGCTTAAGTTGCAAACATACAAAGCACATTTCAGCAGGTTGTAATAGCAGACATCTTACTTCCTGAAGAGAGGAGAGATAAGAGAGAGAACCAACAAGTTTTACACATATGCACAACTGATAACCTTAGTGTACAGTGCCATCTACTGGTCAAGTGATATTAACATACAAAATACTATATATAGTACATTATAGTACATGCTGTTGCATTCCCAACACCAATAATATGGACACCTTAATAATCACCACGCTATAATGTTCCTTGAGTTCTTTTCACCAATATGATTTCTTACCATATACACAAATTTTTCCAATTTGATAAATAAATAAATAAATAATTTACGTACAAATATTTTTACATATATTAATACAAACGAAACTACTGGTGATGATTATTTTGTTACATACAATCAAAAATATATCACAATACAATATATGTACCGTATTTTTCGCTCCATAAGATGCACTTTTTTCCCCCCAAAAAAGGGGGGAAATGTCAGTGCGTCTTATGGAGCAAATATGGAGGAGCCGGTCCAGTATTTCCGCCGCCACCCGCCGCCGCCACCAAGTCAGAATACCGGGCCGGCCGCTCAGCTCTTCTCTCCTGCAGGACCTTACCTGTTCCTCTGTCCAGCGTTGTAGTCTTCCCACGCCGGCTTCTTCCAGCGCCGGCTTCTGTGACAGCCGGGTGCCCACTGCGCATGCGCGAGAAGCGCTGCACTTTGTGAATGGTCCGGCGACTTCTGGGACACATGACAGGTCCCAGAAGGCACCAGGCCATTCACAAAGCGCAGCGCTTCTCGCGCATGCGCAGTGGGCACCCGGCTGTCACAGAAGCCGGCGTGGGAAGAAGCCACACTAAAGAAAGGACAACTTCAGATACCTGCTCCCCCTCCCTCCCCAAAGGTCCACAGTCTCTTGGCCATCCCCTGTACTGTCTGCAGTCTCTGGTCATGCCCTGTACCGTCTGCAGTCTCTGGTCATCTGTACTATATCCGCAGTCTCTGGCATTTTGCCTGTACTATGTTCACAGTCTCTGGTCATCTGTACTATGTCCACAGTCTCTGGTCATTCCCTGTACTATGTCTGCAGTCTCTGGTCATCTCCTTTACTGTGTCCGTAGTCTCTGGTCATCTCCTTTACTGTGTCTGCAGTCTCTGGCCATCTCCTGTACTGTGTCCGCAGTCTCTGGTCATCTCTTGTACCGTGTCCGCAGTCTCTGGTCATCCCCTGTACCGTGTCCGCAGTCTCTGGTCATCTCCTGTACCGTGTCCGCAGTCTCTGGTCATCCCCTGTACTGTGTCCGCAGTCTCTGGTCATCTCCTGTACCGTGTCCGCAGTCTCTGGTCATCTCCTGTACTGTGTCCGCAGTCTCTGGTCATTCCCTGTACCATGTCCGCAGTCTCTGGTCATCTCCTGTACTGTGTCCGCAGTCTCTGCTCATCTCCTGTACCGTGTCCGCAGTCTCTGGTCATGTCCTGTACTATGTCTGCAGTCTCTGGTCATCTCCTGTACTGTGTCCGCAGTCTCTGGTCATTCCCTGCACTATGTCCGCAGTCTCTGATCATCTCCTGTACTGTGTCCGCAGTCTCTGGCCATCTCCTGTACTGTGTCCGCAGTCTCTGGCCATCTCCTGTACTATGTCCGCAGTCTCTGGTCATCTCCTGTACTGTGTCCGCAGTCTCTGGTCATTCCCTGTACTGTGTCCGCAGCCTCTGGTCATCTCCTGTACTGTCTGCAGTCTCTAGTCATCTCCTGTACTATGTCTGCAGTCTCTGGCCATCCCCTGTACTATGTCCGCAGTCTCTGGTCATCTCCTGTACTGTGTCCGCAGTCTCTGATCATCTCCTGTACTATGTCTGCAGTCTCCGGTCATCTCCTGTACTATGTCGGAGTCTCTGGTCATCTCCTGTACTGTGTCCGCAGTCTCTGGCCATCTCCTGTACTATGTCCACAGTCTCTGGTCATCTCCTGTACTATGTCTGCAGTCTCTGGTCATCTCCTGTACTATGTCGGAGTCTCTGGTCATCTCCTGTACTGTGTCCGCAGTCTCTGGCCATCTCCTGTACTGTGTCCGCAGTCTCTGGCCATCTCCTGTACTATGTCCACAGTCTCTGGTCATCTCCTGTACTGTGTCCGCAGTCTCTGGTCATTCCCTGTACTGTGTCCGCAGCCTCTGGTCATCTCCTGTACTGTCTGCAGTCTCTAGTCATCTCCTGTACTATGTCTGCAGTCTCTGGCCATCTCCTGTACTATGTCCGCAGTCTCTGGTCATCTCCTGTACTATGTCCGCAGTCTCTGGCCATCTCCTGTACTATGTCCGCAGTCTCTGGTCATCTCCTGTACTATGTCTGCAGTCTCTGGCCATCTCCTGTACTATGTCCGCAGTCTCTGGTCATCTCCTGTACTATGTCTGCAGTCTCTGGTCATCTCCTGTACTATGTCCGCAGTCTCTGGTCATCTCCTGTACTATGTCTGCAGTCTCTGGCCATCTCCTGTACTGTGTCCGCAGTCTCTGGTCATCTCCTGTACTGTGTCTGCAGTCCATTGGTTCAGAATATTTTTTTTTCTTGTTTTTCACCTCTAAAACCTAGGTGCGTCTTATGGTCAGGTGCGACTTATGGAGCGCGAAATACGGTATATCACCACAATGCTAAAACAGTTCTATAGATATAGTTTCCAATTCCCGCAGCCAAAGGGGATTAGGAAAGTATTCCTGATAGAATGCACAGCAAAATACATCAAATATGTTAGTACACAATATGATATCAGTACCCAAAAAGTTAGAACAATTATTAGTCAATTAATCTCCGTACACCATGCAAATTATATGGCTATGCGCAATCTTACTCTAACCAACACAATAAAATAGGATACTTAGGATTCTAGTCAGTTTTAAATATATAAATGTTACAATATTCTGATACAGTTCTCACCACTCCCAAAATTACGTTTTCTGAGGTCTTCCGGTGGGATTGCAGTTGGTAAAAAAAAGAATGTCTCTCGCCAGCAAGGAACAAAAATTGGGATCAGCAGCAGAAAGCTTCTTCTTTGGCGAAATGGTTTCTTTTAAAAATAAGTTCTTCAAAAATAGCAGGTTTCCAAAAATAGTTTCAATGTAAGTTTCTGTTCTTCTAAATTTTTCCAAGTTGTCTCCAAGTTGTTTTTAAAGTGGTTTTTCAAGTTGGTTTTAAAGTTGTTTTTCAAGTTTTTAAAAGTTTTGTGTTGATGTTTGACCTTTGTCCTGAAAATGGTAGATCTTCATATAATATTTCCACAATTTGTTACAGTATTAAATCAGATCTTGTACGTTTAATTCCAGTCCATCATCTCTGCAACTTGATATAGACACATGTTGTTGCATGTCACGATATGAGTTCTCTGACAGCCCAGTTATTAATCCCCAGGTATTAATTCCTTTATTAATCCCTCCTGGCCATAGGAAGAGCCTCCTCCAATTAATATTCACTCCTGTGTGCCAAAGGCCCCTAGCTGTAATTAACTCACCCCTCCACAAAAGGTCCCAAATTCAATTAGTGTATACATCCCTAATTAGTGCCTTACTTTTGTATTAATGTATTTTCCCCCACTGTTACACTGTTTACAGCTGCAAATCCAATTATCCTGTTTCAGTGTCCATCCTGTTCAACCAGGATGCCTAATTATAATATCCTCCCCACTAATTAGTGCCTTACTTTTGTATTAATGTATTTCCCCCACTAATTATCCTGTCCAACCAGTCTTTTCTGTTTACAGCCACAAATTAAATTACTGTAGTTCCATTCCTGTCCATTCTCTTCATTGTCACTTGCTAATGACCCCCTTCCACCTTGTTGGGGATGCAACAGCATGTACTATATACAGTATTGTGTGTTAATATCACTTGACCAGTAGATGGCACTGTACAATAAGGTTACCAGTTGTGCATATCTGTAAAACTTGTTGGTTCTTTTTCTTTTCTCTCTCTCTTCATAACCAAGATGTCTGCTGTTACAGTTTGCTGAAATGTTTTGTATGTTTGCAACTTAAGCCACACAAGTAAACCAAGTTCTGCCTCATCACAAGCTACTAGTATCTTCTCTAACTCATTACCAACACGCCTCTCGTCCTGCTCAGGGGGTTTAAGAGGCCAGTGCTGGTCTCTCTTGTAGAGCCTTTCTGCTGGGCAACCACTGAGGGGTCCAGCTGGACTCTAGTGGCCCCCCGGCTCTGCCTGAGCCCCATTGGAGGAAGGGGGATCCCAGAAGCTACATCAGCCCTGCCTGGATCGCTGTGAGCTCTGCCTGAGACTATCGCATCAACTTTGCGTGGCTGTATGCTTCCCTTGTGCTATCTGACTGCTTATGAACTGCTTCTTGGATTACAAATTGCTGTAGAGACTTTAACTTTGCCCACCGGGGCTGGATTACAAGTATTGTGGACTCTCTCTCTCCCTGCACTACTCCCTATTGAGTGACTGTTGTCTGTTTTAATAAAGCTTTAAGTGTTTGCCGTCTGCCTTGTGTGTTCTGTCCCGCTTACCCTCCATCACATTGCATATTTATTTTGACATATATTTTATCCAAATCACAAACCATCTCATATGTCCTTATGACTTAATGATATTCAGTTGATCCTTTTGTAGTATCCAACTTTATTAAATTGACCTCGGTATCATAGTATATAGATATGGTTTTAAGAATATTTTAGTTGAGCCTTTTGTCATATTACATCTTTGCTCATGAGCTGAGTGCAAAGTTCATGGAGATATGTCTTAGGAAGTCTCCATTTCACTGGCCTATTGTCTATTTAATCACAGTAAACACTCAGTTGATTTTCCCTAAGAGATCGCATCCACTTCAATTGACAAGTGTTGATTCCCGGGATATTGACCATCTGTTTTTTGAATAGGCAATTGTGACATCCTTGAGGGCTTGTTTGGCTAGTAAATATTCTACATGGCTTTACATTGTTTGGTTTGGTCTTGCCAAGCTGTATGTAAAGAAGACAGGCTCCCACAATTATCATTTATGGTCCGCTTTTGTCTAAGGTTTTCCGTTCCCAAGGTTGGGTGTTATTTGGTTGCATTGCATTTTAAACAGGCCTTTTTCCATTCAATCTTCATTGTATGGAATGGTTTTCTGGATGGGTCATATTTAGGTTTTACAAAACTGGCTGACAGACAACAGCTGGCCTCATAATTATCTTTTGGGGAATATTATTTCCTTTAATAATGAAGCAAAAATCACTACAAAGGACAAGATCAACCAGGACCGGGATAAAGATGGGAAACCGTACCCCCCATGTTGCGTGGATGCAGAGCTCCCCTTCCCTCTATTACACAAACCTCACCTCTCCTCCCAATCTCCCACTACAGAACTCCCCCCACCTCTACCCCCCCCCCTAGGAACAGAGGCCTCCCTCCTCCCCCAGGAGTTCCCTCACCCCATACCAGCCCCAATATACAGAGCTCTCTCCACTTTATAGCACCCTCCACTACACAGACCTCCCCCCACCTCCAAGCCAAGGCTAGGTTTCCACTTAGGCACTTTCTTAGAGGGGCACCTGTATGTATGAGGTTTTTTTTTCTTAGACTACGCAGACTGTTGTCAGCAGTAGAAGGTGCTCACTCAGCGCCGAAGTCCCATACCACACACAAGAAACTCGCCTCATTCCATCCAGCGGCCCCTGGGAACCCCCCCCCCCCGTGCACTATGGGCCCCCAGAAGAGCTGGGTGTGGTGCACTCCTCCACCAATCCACTCATGAACCATGTGAACTGAGCCAACACAAGGCTCGGCGGTCCCATTCATGGCTCATTCTCATTGCTGGGCTCACACAATACAGATCTGTTACCTCTCCCTATCATTCTCTCTGTGGTTCACTGCTCTGCTTCACTGCCAGGGGCCCAGGGAAGGCTGCTGCTCGTAGCAACCACTAAAGTGAAGCTGCTGCTCTTAGCAACAAGTAATGTGAAGCTGCCTCATCATCTTCATGCAGTGGTATTATGGTATGCTCTCTGTTGGGGGTGGGGCGCTTTAGAATTCTCTACCTATTGGCTCCTCAGATGTAAATCCAGCCCTGCTGCAAACATCCCCCAATACACAGAGCTCCCCCCACCTCCTAGCACTCCCTAAAACACAGAGCTCCCCCACCTCTTAGCACCCCCTAAAACACAGAGCTCCCCCACCTCCTAATACCTCCAAATACACAAAGCCCCCCCAACTTACTAGCACCTACAGTACACAGCGCTCCCCCTAACTCTCTAGCACCCCCTAATATACAGAGCTCCCCCATCTCTTAGTACTCCCCATTACAC